GTGCAGGCATTGTACTTCCCATTTCCAGGGCTTAAGTCCGGCTAACCAGTTTCCCTGAATCCCTTCACAAAATATTACCCTGCTCACACTCCAACAGCTCATCAGGTCCCAAAAACCATTCATCTCCATTCACTCCTATCTAACACACTCACGCAGCACGCTTACTGGAAGTCCAAGCCCCTCATCCACAAAACCTCCCTTACCCCCTCCCTCCAACTGTTTTGGGGACGACCCCTACCCCGCCTTCCTTCCCCAACAGATTTATATGCTCTCTAAGTCATTATACTTTGTTCCATTCTCCCTAAATGACCTAACCACCTCAACAGCCCCTCTTCAGCCCTCTGAATAATATTTTTATTAACTCCACACCTTGTCCTAATTTCCACACTACGAGTTCTCTGCATAATATTTACACCACACATTGCCCTTAGACACGACATGTCCACTGCCTCCAGCTGCCTCCTCACTGCAGCATTTACAACCCATGCTTCACACCCATATAAGAGTGTTGGTATCACTATACTCTCATACATTCCCTTCTTTGCTTCCATGGATAACGTTTTTCGTCTCCACAGGTACCTCAACACACCACTCACCTTTTTTTCTTCATCAATTCTATAGTTAGCCTCATCCTTCATAAACCCATCCACTGACAAGTCAACTCGCAAATATCTGAAAGCTTTCTCTTCTTCCATACTCCCTCCCTCCAATGTGATAAACCAATTTTTCTTTATCTAAATTGTTTGATACCCTTATCACCTTACTCTTATCTATATTCACTTTCAACTTTCTACAGTAATTTATACAGAAGAAGGGGTTACTAACCACTTGCTTCCCTGAATACAATATTTTTATTGTTAACACACTGGCCAATTCCCACCAAGGCAGGGTGGCCTGAAAAAGAAAAACTTTCACCATCATTCACTCCATCACTGTCTTGCCAGAAGGGTGCTTTACACTACAGTTTTTAAACTGCAACATTAACACCCCTCCTTCAATATATGTTTATGTAAAGAGTTTTGAGTGAAGTATACAAAGTGATTTATAATTTTCACTTTTAAAAGTTTGTGCAAAAAGGTTAAGGTGTAGATTACAAGTTTTTGTGAGAAAAACAGATTCAGTTGATACCTGACACAATAAATACAGCAAATCCTTGTATAATGCATTAGTTGCATTTCTGTAAACCCTGTGTGCAATAAAGTTGCTTTGTGCTAACTGAAGAACCTATGAGAAAACCAGGGTTGGGTTTTAGGACTGAAATAATTTTTTGTATTCAAAACTAAATAGAATACATACTGCAGATCCTTACCTCACATTCTGACTTCCTGGAATCAAATACATGGCAAAGGATTATGGACCTGAAATTATTGGGCCAAGGCAACAGGTTGTGCTTCTTCTGTAGGTGTTGCAGCAGCATCTTCAGATGATGAGTTCTGCTGGTTGAACAAAGTATTTTGTAAAGCATGTCTGCTTTGTGGTGCCCTGTACTGAATTATAAGCTCATGGTATGATATTCAATACTCCATTTAACCCTTGACAGTGCAAGACCTCTGCTCACAAACTTGCTCTCAGTATTGAAGAATTAAAAAAGAAAAAATTATTTTTTCTTATAAAAATTATAGAAAATCTTTTCCTGATGGTAATGACACCAAGAGTGCAAAATTTGATGGAAAACTTGTGAAATTACGCTCTCGCAAAGTTATTGGTCTCGGTGATATATACGCATTGGAGATTTTGCCCACTTTGAACCCTATTTTTGGCTAATTCCATTGTTCAGGTCTACCAAACTCATAGCTATTTCACTAGTATTCCTTCTATTCTGTTGAATGAGTACAAGAAACTGCCCATTTACCTATTTCAACTACCCAATAAAGTAATCAGAAATCTATAATTTGACCAATTTCACACAAAATTAAAAAAATTGCCAATTTAAAAATAAGGTCCAGAATAAACAATGAGGACATTCGTGGCACTAAAAAAAAATTCCTCTATTCCTTAGTTACATCTCCAGGTCCCTCTTATATTATTTTTTTTCCATTTCGAATTTTTATTCAGAGGGGGACACCAACAGTCCTACCATCATGCAGAGCAGTTGCAGGCTTCCGTTTTACATTCACTTGGCAGGAATGATCCTTTCAATGTTGCATATTAATGTGCAATCATATCTATTGTTTTTAAAATGATGCAATGTCTGTAACATTACTGAAGTATGTTTAAGTTAAAACTATTTTATTAATGTATAGTGAAGGCACTGGACAGGCACCTACAGTCAGTACCTGACCATCTGGGCTGTGGTTCGTACGTCAGTTTGCGTGCAGCCAGCAGGAACAGCCTGGTTGATCAGACCCTGATTCACCACGAGTTCTAGTCTCAGACCGAGCTACGGGTGCATTGACTCCCGAAACCCTCTAGAGGTATACTCCAGGTATACACAAAAAATAGAAGATTTACTGTTATGCAGACTGCTACATTATTATAATAATTGTATAAATAATGTCAGCGCATTTCTAAGTGTGCATTAGACTGGCCAGTTGGACACGTACTAGACAAGTGACATCATTTCTGTACTCTGGAATATCAGCAAAAATAGAACATTTCCACTAATTTGAGCTCAATTTCAAGGTACTTTCAGTCCTGAAACCAATCAAAATCATCTCTATTTCTGTAATATATCTTCCATTCTATCAATGAGATCAAGAAACCGAGAATACAACCATAAAAAACATACAAAAATAAACTGCAAAGTTGCTGTTTTCAACCAAAAACATGGTCGCAAGTTTTTTCTCATTATGCACAGTGTGCTGCAGCATTTTGTTTATATGGTGCACATTTACTGCATAGACCCATTTTATCATATCCAGGCCCAAATTTACTGCTCACAACTTATCTGAGTGAGCTGAACTCATGACATAGTACTATGGGACTGACGCCGAAAGGGTTAACACTCCAAAATACTGTGCATTATTAAGGGCTTTTGCAGAGTTACATAAACAAATTAAATAAAAAGTTATCACATGTTTCCAAAGTTACATAAACAAATTAAATAAAAAATATTATCACATGTTTTCAAAGTTCCTAGGTAGTAGGTTGGTAGACAGCAACCGCCCAGGGAGGTACTACCGTCCTGCCAAGTGAGTGTAAAATGAAAGCCTGTAATTGTTTTACATGATGGTAGGATTGCTGGTGCCCTTTTTTCTGTCTCATAAACATGCAAGATTTCAGGTACATCTTACTACTTCTACTTACACTTAGGCCACACTACACATACATGTACAAGCATATATATACTACACACACCCCTCTGGGTTTTCTGCTATTTTCTTTCTAGTTCTTGTTCTTGTTTATTTCCTCTTATCTCCATGGGGAAGTGGAGCAGAATTCTTCCTCCGTAAGCCATGTGTGTTGTAAGAGGCGACTAAAATGCCGGGAGCAAGGGGCTAGTAACCCCTTCTCCTGTATAAATTCCTAAATTTAAAAATAAGAACTTTTGTTTTTCTTTTTGGGCCACCCCACCTCGGTGGGATACAGCTGGTGCGTTGAAAGAAAGAAAGAAAGTTTTCAAAGTTACATACACAAACTAAATAAAAAATATCACATACATGTACCTTCAGATAAAAGGCATAGTGGTTCTTTAGGTGGTACAGCAGTCTGGGTTTCCACTTTTAAGTCTCTCTCTCTGCAATGATGTGAAGAAGCAACATCCAATGATCTTTCGTTGCCTTGATCCATGCACAACTCTCTCTTGCTTACAGACATGGGTTCTTGATGACATCTGCTTCCATCATAAGCCTGTCTCCTCAGTACTAAATACTTGGTCATGGTTGTAATTCTTGTCCAGAATAAAATCTGGGCAAACTCAGAAGGACACCACTCAGCAGATCCAATCTCGTCTGAAAACTTAATGGTGGTCACTTAGTTCTGCTTACAGTTTTCAAACTACAGGAGGGCCCCACTTTACAGTGCTTGTTAATACAGCAGTTTTCAATTATACCCATTCTTAATTTATTCAGACTTCCTACAATAAATATATTCACCATATGAATGTAGTGTAATGAATGATAGTGTAAACATGTTATCCAGCTTTTATATGCATCTGAAAGTGAAAAAAGATTATGTATCACTTTACAGCGGTAACCCAGAACCTAACCTGCTGTATAAGCAGGGCCATCCTGTACATGTATTCCACATTAAATATGCACTTCCTCTAAACTGTCATAGATGGCTAAGAGTCAAAATGCACTACCTGGATACAGCGGGTTGCTCAGATTTATTGTATTGTTTCCCGGGCTCAGCCTCACAGCATCACCAAGAGTCATGCTAAACATCTGAGATTGTATTACAGTATATGAACAGTGTTCAGCTAGAAATGCACAGTGAAAAAAAATCATGTTTTTTTCAAGAGTTTATTTTATGTACCTTATTACTAAGCTACTTTCTGCCACAATCATAAATGTTTTAGTGAAGAATGTTTTTATCTCTTTTATTTTTATTTTGGAAATTATTGTATTATGTCATTAAGCTTAATTTTTCAGTGTTTCCCCTGAATTAATGTCTATCACAATGTTTATATTTTAAGAGAATTTTCACAAGTCATTCACAGGTAATTAAATAAAGTATTGTACTGCATTAAATATTAATCGTTTTGATTGAAGTCTGCTTGTCTTGTCATTATGACTTTAATTACATACTGTAATATTTATTGCACAGTAAAACCTAACTTCATATAACTATAATATATACATACATATATGTATTTATATTACAGTGTACTGTCAAAAGTACACACCTAACTTCATTTGCAAAATGTACACAATTAATTTAACACTGAATTAAGTGAATCTAATCAGCGATATAAAAACAGTTAATATGACTAAGGATAAGAACGTAATTACTGCACTGTTTCCTTCTGAATATTTAGATCAGCTGTAACAGATATCAATGGAAACTAAACTACCTTACCTTCCAACACTAATGATAGTATTTCCTGCTTGACCAATCAGGTCCCTCGTCACCGGACTCTCACTTACTTCGCGTTCAGTCAGCAACCATTGGACGTCGGTTATCGGATAATGAATTAATGATGCCCCCAAAGATACGCATAGGCTATAATTCCTCGGCCTCTTCTCCTGGCGAGACATCCACAGGTTCTCTGCCAATAAGGAGACACTCTAGCATTGGTCCAGAACGACGAGGGTCCACTTGCATGAATCTCTCTCCTCCAACTGTAAGTAGTTTAAGCTTAAGGAAAAGGGAAAGCAAGGCCAGACAGGGAGGGAAAATAGGTACAACTCTTGCTTGCTTATCTCTAACATAAATTTCAAAAAGTGCTACATAAGCTTTATGTCATCGGACATTTCATTTTTGTGCTCATTTTCTTTTCTTTTTTTTTTTTACTGTATTAGGCATCTCCCACCTAGGGAAGGTAACCTAAAGTAAACAAAAGAAACACCTTCACCATCATTCATTTAATAGTTGTCTTCCAACATTATGTGGACATCACAATTCAGATGACCCTCAGAACTGCAACATTTACAACACCTCCTTCAGAGTTTAGACACTATACTTCCCATCTCTTTCTCTGAATTCCTTATATTCAGGTTACCTTCATCACACTCCAAGAACACAACAAACCCTAAAAATCACTTGTGTCTACTCACTTGGAACTAACATGCTCACACCCATCTATTGGATGCTCAAGTCTCTACTACTTAAAACCTCCTTCACCCCCAACCTCCAACCCCTTTTGGGATGACCCCTACTGCCTTCTCTTCACCTAGGATTTATACATCCTGTGTGTTCTCCTATTTTACTCTATCCTCTCTAGATGCCCAAACCACCTCCACAACCCATCTTAGCCCTTTTTGCAACGCCACACTGTAATGACCGTAATCCTAATTCCCTGTATAATATTCACACCACATATTATTCTTAAATATGACAGCTTCCCTCTTAAATATGATATCTCAGCCTCCTCCTCACTGCAATAATTAAAAATTGTTTCTTGCACCCATAGCAAGTGTTGATAATACTATACTCCAGTTCATTCCCTCCTTTGCTTCCATAGATAAACTTATTTCTTTCTACATATGCCTCAGTACATGTTCCATTAATCCCCTCTTGTCTGTTTTATGCTTCACCTCATTTTTCATAGAACCATCTGCTTATATGTTCACTTCCTCCATAATCTCTCTCTCTCTCTCTCTCTCTCTTTCCAATCTGACATCCAATAGGCCATCTTCCACTGAAGAAGGGCAACTCAAAAAATAAAACACTTCACAATCACTTATTCAATATCTGTCTCAACAGAAGTATGCAGATATCACAATTCAAATTACCCTTCAAAACTGCAACATCCCCATCCATCCTTTAGAACTCAAGTCTGACTAACAGATTTTCCCTGAATCCATTCATGTTACCCAACATAACTAGCTATAACAACCACTCAATCCCATTCATTCCAATTTAACACACTCATTGCTGGATGCTCAAACCCATAGTACTCAAAACCTCCTTTACTCTCTCCCTTCAACCCTTCCTGGGATGACCCCTATTACTCCCTTCCTTTCATGCCCAGATTTATACACCTTGGTCATCCTATTCTGTCCCATCTACTCTAAATACCTAAACCACCTCAACAATGCCTTCTCAGCCCTCTGAATTATATCTTTGGTAACCCCACCAAACCATACCCCCGGCCGGGATTGAACCCGCGGTCATAGAGTCTCAAAACTCCAGCCCGTCGCGTTAGCCACTAGACCAGCTAGCCACAATAAGATTCATCTTATTGTGGCTAGCTGGTCTAGTGGCTAACGCGATGGGCTGGAGTTTTGAGACTCTATGACCGCGGGTTCAATCCCGGCCGGGGGTATGGTTTGTTTGCAATCGTGTCATTACGATTTCTTGAGTCAGTTTGGTAACCCCACGTTGTTGTCTAATTTCTATGTTCCAAATTCTATTCATAATATTCACACCATGCACTGCTTTTAAACATGACATCTCCATTGCCTCCAGCCTCCTTGCTGCAATGTTTAAAACCCCTGCCTCACACCCATGGGAAAAGTGTTGGTACCACTATATTCTGGTGCATTCCCCTTGTTTTGCTTCCATAAACTTCTTTCTTTTCACAGATGCCTCAACATCTACCTTCTTTCCCCTCCCTCACCTATCCTTCATAATTTACACTTTTATACAGCACAGTAACATTCAGATTATGTATATCCAAATTACAGCAGAGGTCCAATTAACATGCACAAAGATGGGAGAGATAGTATCAGGTACCACCACCTACCAATATCTAAACTTCAATCCCTACCTTTGTCTTAGTATGTCTGGTCTTGGTCTCGATCTTGTTATGTTTGGTCTTAACTACATCTCTGGTGTATATACACATGCACAAATGCATATATGTGATGCATACTGGATCTAAGTAGTAGTTGCAAGATTTACCTCTTTTCTTAAATGTTTATGAGAGAAAGAAAAGATCAGCAATCCTGCCAGAATGTAAAACATTTAACAGGTTTCCATGTTTTTTTTTTTATAAATAAAGACTTAGAATTTTGAATTTGAATGAGTTTTAAATACATATTTAAAAATGTTAGGTTTTATTTTCAGCTTGCTAACAATGTTAGTTAATTAATATTTTAATAAACTTCATTCCACAACAGAATTATGGAGGACTCTGTGTATGCCCACAGAGTTTTAAGCTGATGTGTGTCCTAATATTTTGCTGGTGCTAAACTTAAGCAGTAGTGATTTATAGCTACTAAGACTTTTTTAACTATAGTAAGAATAAGATAGTACGTATAACAATGCATGTCTTTATCACTGTAAAGTTTGTTCTAAAAGTTTGCAGTTTTTAATAGAAGTCATATGAAATATACTAATATTCAAGCAAATCTTAGGTAATTTCCTTGGTGTCTTCCAGTTATCAATACTGGTACACAAGCTCACACTTTCACATGTACAGAATATTTTAATTACCATCTGTTACTCAAGTACTTCTGCTGTTCATGACAAGATAAAATTTCAAGAGCATGGGAATCCCTCTCATTGTACATGTTTTTCTGACTTATACTCAAGTGGAACTCTTCAACAGTATTTAGTATTTTTTGATTAATTAAAATGTTTATCCTATTACATAAGTCAGGCATCCCAGGATGCTGAAAAATCAGTCTTAGTTTTAATCTCTATATTCTCCTGAGGAAGGTGTTATGCTTCCCATGTGATAAATTAAAAGCTAGATATTCTGAAGTTTCAAGTATGGTCGCATTAACACTAACAGAAAAAAATGACTCTGTAGACCTCACATGAAAAAAAAACTTCAGTATATAATATCAATGTCTCTTGTGTTCGTGATGGAATCTGGTTGTTTACAAGATCGCGGTGTGTTTTATTAATTTTTATTAGTTACAGCTAAAAACTGCCTTCCTGTATAAAGAATTTAATGTAACCATTAACTCTTTTCAAGGTGTGGATCATGTAAATAAAACCTATATTGATATTACCTGTATGCAAATTATGTACTCCATATATGAAATATTTTGCAGCCTATGCAAAATCTTCTTAAACAGCTTGTGCATACTCAATATTTGTTTTTTATAACTTAACAAATACTTTGAATGATGATTAAATGTTACTGTCTTTATCTACTCTATAAATATGAATTAGAATACATGAAAAATACAGAAGAAATAAGAAATAGCAAGATGATGAGAATAAAACAAGAAAACTTAGGAAATGCAAGACTGAATATCAGATTGGAGGAGGAAGTATGGAGGACATAAATGGGTTCAGGTAGTTGGGAGCAGATTTGTTGGCGGATGGGTACTAAGACAGATGAGGTGAACCATTGAAGTGATGAGGGGAAAACAGGTGGGTAATGCAGTGAATCATCTGTGGAGATGAACTTTATCCATGGAGGCAAAATGGAGAATGTACCAGAGTATAGTAGTACCAACACTGTTATATGGGTGTGAAGCATGGGTTTGAAACATTACAGCTACAAGGCTGGAAGCAGTGGAGATAATGTTTGAGAGCAATGTGTGGTGTGAATTTTATGCAGAGAATTCAGTGCTCAGAGATTAGGTGTGGTGGTTGAGGAGAGGTTGTTGAGGTAGGTTAGATGTTTATAGAAGATGGCACAAAAATAGGATGACTAGGAAGGGGTATAAGTCCAGGGCGAAAGGAAGGATGGGTAGGGTTCATCCCAGGAAAGGCTTGAGGGAGGGGCAAGTTAAATAAGGGTTTTTAGTGCTAGGAACTTGGACATTCGACAAGCTTGTGTCAGGCCATTAGATAGTGAGTGGAGGCAAGTGGTTGTTATGACCTGATGGGCTGTTGGAGTGTGTGCAAGGTAACATTTACAAGGGGATTCAGGGAAACCGGTTAGCTGGTGATTCCTGGAGATGTGAAACACATTGCCTGCACTCTGATGAAAGGATAGAAATGGTATAGTTCAGAGGGCCAATTTAATTGATAGTCAACATGCTTCTGGCAAGGCAGTTATTGAATGAATAATGGTGAAAGTGTGTCCTCTTTTTTTTTTTTTTTTTTTTGGGGGGGGGGGGGGGGTCACCCTACCTAGACGGGAGAGAGCCAAAAAAAAAAAAAAAAAAAAGCAAATATTTCTGGTTAAGAATGTAGGAAACTTTGTTAATATATGAAAGTGAACAGTGCCAACCACATCAGTAGTTGAAACATCAGTGCCTCTCTTTTGTGCTATTGTGCTACTGTTAGCAACCAAGGCTAATGCTCACTTACTACTAATGGTATATGCTTTTTTCAATAACTTTACTATGGCACACATCTTAATTTCCTTTTACAGGTAAACATATATATACTGTACTGTATATATAAATCTTTGCTCCACTATATGCTAATTATTTTATCAACTTTTAGCTTTTAAGTTTTTGGCTAAGCTGAGAACATTTAGCTATATTCTACTGGATTGTGAACATTTGTTCATAATACTCACTGACATGTGACAAAATGTGTTCATACTCTCTAATACATAATAACTTTTTGCTTAGTCTGTCAAGAAGTGACTGACTTCAAGAAAATTATTTATCAATTAATGTAAAAATTATTAATAGAACTAATTACATAAAATGCTTCACACTTTATTAAGGCACCCAAACATAAATTCTCATTTCAATATCATCAGCAGTGCTAATGGATAGTTGCAAAACAGCGGAAAGTCCAGATTATTGCTATCGTAAATCCAAA